GACTGAACACCCAAAATACTTTCTCTTTCCCCTCAAAATTTTTGCTTTTGTTAAATTGAGAAAAGGGATTTATACAAATAAATTCTACTTTGAGCTAGCATCATATTTAAGTGCTGAATGTGGTTCAAAACTATGGGAGCATTTGGTCCCATACGAGTCCAATGCAGACTCTCCCATTTTAAGGTACATCTCCTGCTCGCCCCTGCAGTAGATCTACCTACATAGCATTCAAATAGTGTAACAAAGAGCACTACATAAACCCAGCATGGCCAACAGAGACCCATTTTTCAGCACTGTAATCCTATAAACTTTGACATAATAAATTAGATTGAAGAAATACCTTTTCGTTTGAAATTTGCATCAGTCCTGTACTAACAGAGACATCAGCAGCAAGATGATATTCCATCCACAGAACCGCTCCATGGCTCTTTCCTTTCCTGGGGAGAGGTGGAGGATCAAAACCTGTTACTTGATACAATACTGACAGCTTAAACACTGCACCCATTGCTCACATAGTTTAGGTGAGACCTGTAAAAGCAGGAATAACTTGTTTCCTTGAAAAAAAGTTGAACAGCTGAATGATTTGGTAAATGGGTAGCAACTTTTAAAGTACTTGCAGATACAAAATCTAAAAAAGACAAGAGGAGAGTATGTCATAACTAAATCTCCTCAGAACCACATTCATTTAACAAGCACTTGATAACATGGCATAAATTATTTGGCATATTTGGGGAGTACTTCCTTCAGAGATCCCAGCTTCTATGGTTGCTGAATTTTGAGAAAATATTTACCACACATCCCATCTCACTTCAGGGGTCTGCTCCATGAGGAACAGAGGCGTTGCCTGTAAATACAACTGGTGCAAAGGCACAGAGACCCCACACAGATTGTTCTGGATTTTGTTTCACAAAGAAAAACATATAATTACAGCAGTGTTTGAGCTACGTAAGCTCTAGATAAAAATAACTTTCTCCTGTTTTTTAATTCTTAACAGCATTTCAAGTTTGAACAGAATTAAGTATAATCTGTAGTTAGATTATAATGAAAAGTATCTCAGAAGATGTGACAAATATCAAGATTGTCAGAACTACAGTTAAAAGGAAGAAGAGCATACACTTTAAAGCTATTGAACAGAATAATTTGGAAAGCTAAATAGGAGCTTTTTCTGCAAGAACTCAGTAACAGGGAACAAACAGAAAGTTTAAAAACATCCAGACCATGGCTTATACCGACAAGTATGTTCCCACTAGTTAACTATTATAAACTATACATTATATATTTTATATATATACACACATTATACACACACACACACACACACACACACACACACAAAGAGCTTGAATATGTGGTTAAAAAACAGAGTATGACAAGAGTATTTATTGCAAAGGGAAAACTTACCGTAAAAGATTTACAGAACCCTCTGTGCTGAGACAGTGTTGTGGTACAGTCTTTCTGAAGTCAAATGTCAAAACTTCCTGGGGGTCAGAGAGTGACTTGCAAGGATATTCCCACAGAGGGTGAGGTTCTGCTTCCTTGGATTCCCTAAAATTCAGAGAATTCTAAAGAAAGAAAGTAGTAAAACTATTTGAAAACAATCCAAAGGCAAACAGTCCTTGTTTTCAATTTAATTATGTGTCCTGAACCCAGAGTATTTAAGCAATAAAGCTGCAAGAGGACAGAACTGCACTTCTTAGGCACAAGGGAAAATGCGTACTACATTCATGAAGTAATTGTTATGACTATGGTCCTCAGCAGTTAAACAGAAACAGGCATTTTCAAAATACAACGCATTTAACTTTTCTTCTCCCTTGAGATGAATTCTACTCCAGAACTGCCTGTACTCCTCCACAACGACTATAAAGGCAATCTAAATGGCTAACTCAAATATGGATATCTACAATACAGCTCTAGAAATTGATACAGATAAATCTCACCCTTCAGATCTATTTATCTGAAGTCAGAAAGCCTTTTTCTCTTTCAAAATTACCTGCAAGGTCAAGTAAAGGCAGCAGGATTCATCTACGAACAACTCCCAGATGATTTGACTTCAAGCTCAGAACAAAATTTTGAGAACTGTATTTTCTTTTTGAATGAATAGTGCAAAGCACTGAAGGGGCTGGCAAATGCATACATACAACCCCAAAACCCATGCCACAGAAATTACTGTTTTGCAAGAGCTAAATAGCCACCATATTAACGAAGAATTCAACCGATGGTGTCCTGCCTAACACGCAAGGTTTTCAACAGTCACTAAATACTTTTTTAAACCAAGGTGAGTTTTATTCTGTTTTGCTGAGACTTGTGCTGAAACTATTTTAAGTCTTCTTACTTTAATCATATCATCCATAGTCTGGACATCAAAACCTTCACAGGTGCCACATGGACTCCGGATTCTCCATAAGTCCTAGAAAAGAAAACAAGAATTTTTTTGACTTTATTAAGTAATACAGTGAACAAAATCATTTCAGCTGTAGATTAGACATTTGATAACAAGTCAGACAAAGACTCTTTACTATCTATACATTCCTAAACCATTAGAACTACTGCAAGAATCAGAAGATAATGTATTCTGGGAAAATGTTTTGCAAGTCAGTTAATTCTTTAGTCACCATTTTCAATTTTCAACTCCTCTAGAGAATATCCCACATTTCCTACCATCTCTATGCATAATTGACTTTAGAGTAGGTATGGATTTGCCAAAATTAAACCTTTAGAGCCCCCCCCATTTCCACTACCCAGTACAGGTAGTGCTCCCAGTTGCATCAAACATTTTGCAGCCTACAGGACTCCCATACTTCCCTTTAGCACTCCAAAGGTTAGTAAAATCATTTTAGGCATTCCACCCTATGCTGACTTTAGCAATCCACTGGACAGACAACGATTCAGTTTAATGTTTGCCTTTTCTTAGACTGCATTAGTGGTCTCTTAATAGAACAAGATCATTCACTAGCTGTGGATATATACATTTTATTACCTGTTCATTGTTGCACTTAGCAACCTCAAATGTTCCTGCTTTACAAGATGGCAGCAGGACTACAATAAATTTAAATAAATGCTGTCATAATTCATGCCTGAATCCAGCCTGAAGTGGAGTGACTATAAAGAATCTCCAAATAGCACACCTGATAGAACTATCAGATCCGATAGGTAGCATCCTGCTCCCTTAATGCAATTATGGACTAAACAAGTTTGTAACTGAAGTGATTTCATCAAATACTTTCTCCTGGATCCAGCTTTTGCTAATTGCTTAACTATAATGACATATTCCTATTCTGACAAGACAGAACAGCCTACAGAACCAGTTCTGCAGAACACCTTACAACACTATGTCTGTTCTTTCTGTCTAACCAAGAACCGGTAAATGCAGAGGTTATTTTAAAAAGCCCACAGACTCTAGTCTTTGAGTCTAGATTCACCACTGAACAAAGGGGAAAAGGTGAAATTAAAGCAGTAGCTTTTGGAATAGCTTAATAGAACAAAACACAAGTTACGTGTCCTACCGAAATAACTACATGGAATCATCTCCAAATACAACCCTGTACATAAAAGTGCAAAACTGAAGTTCGGGTGACACAAATGTTACTCTACATTCTGCTACTAGATTGTTGAATAATCTTAAATCATTACTCTGCATGCTTCAGTCTTCTCATCCCAAACATGAAGAGAATAATGCTTACTTCCTTACAAAAAGCTTTAAGTTCTAGGGAAGTAAATCCTCTTGAAAAGAGAGCATGGAATTAAAATTAACTGCTTATTTCAATCTGATTACTGTTGATTAGTCTTAATCCAGTCTGCTTCCTGTTACAAGATTCAGATTTACATTATTTGCTCAGTAAATATTTATTCTCTACATTTTTGCAGAAAACTGAAAGGTATGCAAAAACACGCAGCATAGTTGATTAGTCCCAGGGGGAAAAAGAACATACGTATTTTCACATGCACAAATCAAAGGCAGAAGTAAGAGAACAAGGTTAAAGAGCATTTGACTAAGGAAACTGTTAAGGGACAGAAGGCTCAGACACAAAACTACACAGCTGGTGAACCAGACAGAGGGAAGAAGAGAGAAAAGACTTCGCATTTTTAACAGATAAACTGAAGGTTATGTTTATGTGAAAATTCATTAGATTATAGGCATTTTTTTATTTACAGGTATGTGTATTTTAGTTACATGATTTCAGACCAAAGAGTTCCCTCACTTAAGCTACTGGACAAAAACTTTGCATATTAATTAGGAAAGTACTTATTTAATTTCCATTGTCATTGCAGATAAACTCTTCACAATCTTTACTGTCCAATTCCTTAATAGCCACAAAAAATACCTTTTTCCATTTCTGAAAGATGACTTTTCCAAGTGTTTTTAAGATGTGACCCCTATTATGCTCAAATTTAGAACAGTGCACAGCCTCAAGTTGTTTAAAAAAATAAAACAAAACCCATGCAATTATGAATCCTGCCTACAGTCTTACACTCATAAAGCATCACTTCAATAACTGCTATTTTGCAGAATATCTAATTTTATAAATGACCACAATTCTCACTTGGTTCAGCAATATCTCTCTAATCTTAAGAAATATTTTAAAACATTCAGCCCTTTCATTTAAAATGATAAAATTACTTGAGTTAGCTTTCTGACAAGAGACACCCAAAATAGCAAAACTCATCTTCAGGATGTCAAATATTCTTTTCTCAGGCAGTAAATGCAAAACATATTGAAGTGGACAGTATTAAGATGAGATGAACTTGTTGGTAAAAAATCCTGGAAGAATACTCAATTCTAAGTGGATTTGTGTAAATACCAAACAGATGGTTCTAAACAATCTCACCTGAAACTCCACGATCATCATGTGCAAACAGGCAGACTGAGGCAGGACAGTGACATCGCTGGTAAGGTGACTGGTCACAGCTGTCCTTGCATACCAGAAATACAGGTTATGCCATGGCAATAAACTTGTAGTAAAAAATGGCTCTCCCACAAGAACAGAAATCTTGGCAAAGGAGGAGATAAAAAGCATTATAATAAAGAACAACAACTCAATGACACAGGCTGTTTGTATCTTCAATAGTTCACAATGCAACATAGCAAGTGAAGTACTCAGATAAACAACTTCTACTGCTCCATAAGGATTTAATTACTGGATACTGTATATACTGCAAAATAGGCATCTTTTTGTGGTTTTAGTTTGCAAATTTAAGGTGATTTTTCCTGCAATGAAGTTTGCGAGAAAATATTGCAGTTTTAGGTTGGAGGGCTTTGTAATGAGAATCATAGAATTTTGAAATTTTTAATTTAAGGATGTTAGCACTTCCAAACAGACTGCAGTCTTCTGAGTGGCTTGAGAAAGAAGAGCTATAGCCCAGTAGCACATGTGCAGTTAAACCAGTTTAACTGCCTTAATAACTGGGTATAGATTATGCAGCAAGGGAAAGTCATACCCTTTCAAAAACAAAGCAAAAACCCTCCCACAGTCTTTAGTCTCATTTAGTTTTAGTGGGACAAGGTCTGAACTATCTACTCACCACATTTTACATGAACCAGGATATAATGGGATTCATGTGGTTACAGTAGCACAGTAGGAAAGCAAGATTCATCTTCACCTTCTGCTCCCCACCACCCCACTGAAATCCAGTATTGGGCAACTGTAACATACCTTTTTATCTCCCAAATGAGAGGATGTCAGCAACTCAGGGCGTGCTTCTATTATTTTAATTTTATCTTCAAGATGATTTGCTTTAAAAAACTAAAAAAGTAGCATACTGTGATTATCAAAAGCTACAGTTGAGACTCAAGCCCCTATCAAAATAATAATTTTATTAAAAATAAACAAAAAAAGAAACCAGTTGCCAAAAGGAAATTTTAAAAAACTGCCTACCATAACTCATCAGAATGACACAAGTCTATTCTTGAAAGGTGCACCTAGTGACACATGCCCTACCTCACCTTCATTCACTTGTACTTTGAAGCAGATGCGAAGGACAGTCAAGAAAGACAAAAATTACTTCAGCTACAAATACATTGCATATCGAGCTTCTGTTTGAGACCAGGTTTGTGTCCTAATTTGCCTACCCTTCATGTTTTTGTAGTCCTAAACCACAGGCTGAGACAGACCTCTTTCAAATATATAGTGCCAGCTAAAACAGACACAGACAAACGATGACTTCAGGAAGCTGCTTCTAGTAGCTTCTTAGGCATTAGCTGCCTCTCCTGAACAGCCTCCACTCCACTGGCAGGGCCCTCTCTGCTCTACTCCAAGGAAAAAGGTGAAACATCACTTGCAGTTAGGAGCAGGCACTCCCAGCTTGTCTCAGCTGGGAGACAGAACTGCTAGATGCCACTTTCCCAGTAAGACTGGTGCAAGCTATGGGATACTCTCACATTCCACTAATCCTCAGAAACAAACAGCTTGGCTTTTATCCCCAACACCATGAGGGCAGCAAAGCAGCAGCTCAGACAAGCCAACAGGCATCTGCAAGGAGACATGAAGTGTTGGCAACCATAATTCTCTCTGCTCAGCTCAGCTTCCCCTGTGGCCGATTCGGCTTGTAGCTAAAGCTGAGATTGGAGGTACCTCCAGCAGGATGTATTCCTCCAAGTATTTGCATAAAGCTCTGTACAAATACCGGGAAAAAATAAGAACTCCTCTCGCCCCAACATATCCCACCTCCCACATACTTGTCAAACTGTATGATCAAATGCATTCATAGAACTCATTTAGCATCCAAGCAATTGATGCAAGGACAATCAAAGGCATCAGTTCTAGCCTTAGAAATGACATGAGTTCATTTACTGCTGTAACAGAAAACTGAATACTCACTTTTTCCATGACAGAACGGGACACAGCAGAGTTTTCTAATGTAAACACCTAAAGAAAATACACAACAGTTAGTCAAACTAGCTTTATAATTTTGAATTAAACAAATATGTAAATGAACAATAAAGGGACTATTTTGATGCCCTAGTGAACACAGTTCGTAAGAACCATGCATCTATTCCACAGCCCACTGTCATGGTACCTTTTTGACAACAAAACCACCCCCAATAACTACAGGCTAAATAATGCTGTTTTCACAGCCATACAAGAAAAAAACCAACAGAATACAAATATTTATTTTCCATTTTTAAGACACATATATCATACTAACATTTGCTCTAGACATGTATTTACTCCTGAAAAAATGCAAGCATATTGCCAGCATGTTGAAACAACCTCCAGTTGTGCTTACTCCCTGTAAGCATTGTTTATCATGATCTGACTGTAACAGCTGGAAAGAGCTCAGATGTGCAAGGCAGCACACCAGCCTTTTGAAGTAAGAAGAAAATTAGGTTTTATTCAAAACTGGTGAATAGTTAGGCAATATGCTGCTACAGGGCTAGGAAAATATAATGGAACTCTCTGTCTGCCCTATTCATTTCCTCCCTTCTCACAGTCGTCTGTGACTAGCCACTACTAAAGACAAAAACACAGGGTCCACGGATCACTGATTTAACTCAGAATGTTTATTTATTTCTAAGAATTGCTTAGCATCTTCTTCAGGATTATATTACATTACACATTCCCAGATATTCAGTCCAACTATAATAGATTTTAGTTTGAAGAGCCCCATGACACAACACATCAAGTACAGTATACGCCTAAGTGAGACAGCACAGCAGCTCTCAGCTCTCATTTACACACAGACTCACTATTCTTACTGCTTCCTATCTTGCTGTTACAGACCTTCCACTTCAGACTAGATAATAAATGTAATTATGGAATTGCAAACATAAAAGAAGAAAGAAAAAATTGCCAGACATTTAGGTTGGTAGAAAGAGCATTTCCAAAAGCACCAAGATACAAGATGGCAAACAGGAATCAGTGGGGAATGGGGAACACCACTTTCATTCAAGGCTACACGTTGGTAAACATTGAAACTGGTAATTACTATGTCCCTAGACTTCAGCTTGATCAGAGATTAATTTAACCTTCACTTCAACATACTGGGAGCCTCTTTCTCACTTGTCATTTAAGAGACACTGGAAATACTTAAATAATGGGCTAGAAATGCTGATCTAAATGAGAGAACTAAAAAAACCACCAAGCCAAAGTGCAAAGATCAGAAAAACAGGAAGAAGCACTGTACCTGTTTTGCTCCAAGATAGTGAGCCAGCACAGGCAGCAGACTGCCATCACTGATACAAAGGCAAACACTATCTGTTTTCAGAACCTACAGAAAATAAATAGTCATTGTTATTCCTATTTGAGACGGAAAAAATTTCAAATTCTAGACATTTTGGTCACATTTTTCCCCCACTTTACACACTTCCATATCAAATAAGGACTGGGAGATTAACCACTTCAGAACAGAACAGTGTAAGATGTTCGTGTAATCCCTTTGTTTTAGGTCAGAAAAAGTTTGCGCAAAAACGTATTGGGTGTCTTTATTCAACTACCAATATTCCTTCTAACAAATATACTGAGCTGCTACAAATTCCTATGCAAAAATGGCTGCTTACAATTTTAAAATATACCAAAATTTCTATGACAAAATATAACTTACATCTGCTGATGTAAATAAAATACACTTTGTGAGCAAAGTCCTTTAGCATGGGAGAAACAAATTCCGTAATTACTGCAAATTAAACAATACATGCATCTATCATAGAGGCCAAAAAACCTACAGGCAAGATGCACTTACTTTCATCAAAGATTTGATGTATTGGCGTGTTCGGTTCTGATCATTTAATTCCCCAAAGCGTGGTCTATTCCAAAGAAGATGAGCCTGACACCTACAAACAGGACTCTCAACACGAACATCTGCTTTATCCTCCTCTTCTCCTCTAGAAAAAAAAAAAAATAAATGAAGTATTAATGTTGTTGTATTAATGTGTTGATGTTCTCAGCCCTGGAAACATTCAAGGTCAGGTTGGATGGGGCTCTGAGCAACCTGATCTAGTTAGCGGTGTCCCTGCTTACTGCAGGGGGGTTGGACTAGATGACCTCTAGGGGTCCCTTCCAACCCAAAACATTCTATGATTCTGTGATTAACTACAGCATAAGTAACATGTTTTCACAAACAGGTACATTTATGCATTTTAGCTAGTACACACACCCATAATTAATACATGTAGTTTTGTGTCTCCAGTGTTAGGTTAACGATTGGACTTGATGATCCTGATGATCTTTTCCAACCTGAACGATTCTATGATTTTTTTGTGGCTTTGCATTTCCAAATGAAGAGAAAGGGCTAATTTTCACCTTTTTAAAAAGACAAAACCAAGAACCCCCCCAAACTTTCCCACTAACTCTAATGATGAGGTATTTTAGGCTTTCATCTTTTAGAAAAAAGATACTCGCTTGGATACCTAAGCAAAAAAGGCACATAAAATTCAGACATTAACTTTTAAAGCCGGCACTGATTTTTAAAAATGTTAGCTGCTCTTGTCATCACAACTAATATGGTTAAGCTCCTTTTAATTTGAACAAAAGGCATTAATCTCAAAAAGACAGTGCTGATGAGGAAAATAGAGAATGGAGACAGAATGGCAATTATTTCACTCCTTTACCTATATGCCAGCTCAGCTGAGCTATATTTTAGGATTTCCAGGAACCAAACGCGAGTGGTTTTTTGTTTCTCTTTTTTTGTTTCAGAATGCCATTAAGTATAAGGCAGGAGCCTACAGTCCAAACCTCAACTGTGTTTTTATGCATAATGTGTTTTTCTCACCTGTGCATTGCCCATGAAGTGGCTTTTAATAATTTTCTAGTCTTTAGGTTCTTATCTTGCTCTTCTACAAAATAGCTGCTCTAAGAGCAGCAAATACTTGAGCTTGGAGTAAAGTATCACCCTTTCCCACATGCATGTTTTGTTACCTGGCTTTCTGCAGCTTATACCACACAGAGTACTCATCACGACAGGCAGTCAGGTACACCTTCTCACCCTGGAGAACAGGCTCCTCATTTGGTAGAAAATATACACACTGCATCCAGTGATCTCTCCACTGAAAAGAGATGATAAACAAAACCTCAGGAAGTAACTCATAAATAGTAAATGGAAAGGAAACAAATAGCAGGAAATCAATTAGTAAGAATGGGCACAGTTTCAAAGCACTGATGTACGACTAATTGAAAGAAGCTTGTTCACATTAGCAAGGCTGAATAAAGACTAACAACGTGTATTGAATAAATGTACTTTATATAGATTTCTTACAACAGAATAACCCTGAGACCACTGGCCTGTCGAATAACTAAGCTTGTATTTTAGTCAAATGAAAAACAAATGCAAAATACACTTTGCATTTATTAATGCTGTTTCACTTCTGTAGTTCACTTATGTTGGAAACCTGTATTGAATTGCTGACCGCAAAAAATGCATTTTGCGTCATGCATCAAATGAGGTCACTTCGTGTCACTCTGATATGACAGTACAACTATTTTGTATTTCAAAAAGCTAATTTTCTGCATTCCAAATATTCCAGGTTGATTGGTCATTCTAAGCTGATTAAGTGCCCTGAAGCTTGATAGTTTCAAATTTTATCCTCAAACACAGTGAGTGCAAACAACCATTTTGTAGCTTCCTTTTGACTAAGTTCATCCTAATAGTAAACACATTAATACAAAAAACCCAGGAATCTCATTTCACAGTGATCTCCTGTTCCTCTAATTATCCAGTATGAACCCACATTTTCCCACACCAGCCTTTTTTCTAGGAGTATAAATACACTACCATAAACTTAACACTTATTTGGAAATTTAATAGAAGAATGACATGGAAGCAAACGACAGACTGATATTTTGACCAGGGATAGAGACTAGTTAAGGAAATCTTTATTTCTATGAAATAATAAAAGAAATAAATAAAAGAAACAAATCTGGAAGACAGCTTCAGTTTTTAAGCTTTACATTAAAGCTTACATTTAAGTTTTACATTAAAGAGAACCTAAATTGGGTACGTACTACAGTTAACACTTCTCTGATTTGCTTATTTAGCATCTTCCAATACATAAAACATTAGCAAAGTTCCTATACAGCTTAAGGGACAGCTGCTTAAAACACCCAGTATGGCCTTTACTCAATATAATTACTAATAGTCATCTGATGATAGTATCTGAAGGTTCAGTATTTTACCTGGAAAGCAGAACTGGATTTTACCCAGTATGGAGCCATTGTGCAGTTTATCATCCCAGAGGGGTCCATGTCAATATCCCACCACGAAAGTACGATTTGTGCCTTGCCAGATTTTACAGGCTCCAGCTGTACTCTATAGTAGGTAGAAGCACTCCTTACTGGCTTACTGAAATCCACACTGCAGAGAAGCATGAAAATTGTAGCAAGAAATAGTTCAGCATTCGTCAGAAATTCTCACTAGTTTCCTAAGCTGAATACACAACATATATACCAGCCATAACAGGAAAATTTTGTTTTGAACAAAAACAATGCTTAGCTTACCTGAACATTGTCACCACATCACTAAGGATAGTGAAGTCACTTGAAGGCATCTGATTCAGCTGGATGTCACAAACAGAAGGAACACCTGGACAGTCCTCCACTTCTGAAGGGGAGACAATAATTTTTTCACCATCCTCCGCTTCGACATGAACAGGAAACAGCTTGTTCCAGGACCACATTCTTTTGGATTCCACTAATTGGACATACACCGTTGCCCTGTGAGGCACTGCCTCACATCCTTCCTGAGTGTTCAAAATAAAGGGTAAATGCATTCAACGAGACTGACTTACTAACATGCATGAGAATTGCATCAATTGAAATGCGAACCAGTTTAAAGAAACATTGGACTGGGAGCCTTGAAATCTTAAACACAAATAATTTCAGAGACTTCTGTAACATCAGAGCACTTTCTCTTTGTCCCTCTACCTGTGAAATACAATACACTTATCTATCCTGTCCAGTGTGGTTCAGCAAGGCCAGATTACTTTATCAACCATGCAACTTTATCAGTTTACTAGCCTCAGTTAAACTTGCATTTCCATTCTCATTCTGAAATAAGAGATATATCTTGAGCTTCTCAAGGCAGGTAACTACTAAGCTACCAACATTAAAATAGAGTTTGCGATTGCAACGAGTAAATAAGAAAAATAATGGGTCAAGTATTTATGCAATGACAACTTTGTGTCCATGTTTAAAGAGTAGAAAACATGCAAGTTGTTCCAAAAAAACCCACTGTGAACTAAGAGCTAACTGTGAGGTCCAAGAACAATGCTTTTACAAAAAAGACTAATTACAATTTAGAGTTATATATGGAGAGCAGCAAAAAGCTATGGAGTGCTATTGTCTTTATATGTAAAACTGGTGAGATGAAACTTAAGAAACCTAAATAAAGTTTTGCCATCCATGTTTTAATTAAAGAAAGGGTAAAAGAGAAAGCCCTAAAATTATACCTATAGATTACATGTCAAAAACCCTGGCTATTAATTTGATTACAGTGCTTAAAAAATTTCCACAGGCAAAAAGCACGTGGAGTAGCAAGAGCTCCTTAGTAAAAAAAAAAAACAAAAAAACAACAAAACCACACCAAAACAAATCAATGCCTGAGAGGTGAAGCCCATCAAATTTAGGACGAGAATTTCATTTTTTAAAACACCTTGGAACAAATTACTAAGGAAGGCTCCAGATCAGAACTGGATGCCTTTCTGAAAGACATTTGTTAACCAGCAAGCTGTTTTAACACAAAGCAACTAAGTGTAATTTCAGAGCCTGTGATTTCCAATACGAACTCCAATAGCTTTATTCTAGGAATAAATCTAGTAAATTATCCACTGAATAAGAGATTAGCACAGCTGATGGTGTATTTACAAAGGATACAGAAGCCTAAATCAAGTATAATCTCTATCCTACTCCAAAAAAGGCAGAAGAGTTTCTCTAGGGATAAATGTCAGGCACTATCAATTTCTATTTTCTTACCTGCACAAGATACCTGTGTGCATGTTCATAGGTTGGTAAGGCTCCTTCTCCGATAAGCTCTGTATCAAATAATTCTGTTACCAGGATGTTTGCACGACATTGCATATCTCCGTCTAAAGGACACAATTTAATATTGTAATATTAAGACCTCATGTAAGTCTTTCAAGAAGATGCTATCCTGAAAACACAAGTAATTAGAAAAAAAACTTATTCCTGTCAGAGAACCTGCTGAAGACTGCAAATTATTTTCCTTCAGAAGTTTACTATGAAATACAAATGACTACTGAAATACTATTGCAACACTTCCTTTTGAAGTAAATTTCCAGTGTTACTTACTAGAGAGTAGGGGACTTGCCTGGTTTAATTAAAAACATACAGAAAATAAGATGTATCCCTTCATGCTTTTGAAGTACTTGCCAATTTTTTTAACCCTATTGTTCTCACCTGGGCCAACCGTGACTTCAGTAGAGTGCTTATTGATTACCTTGATCTTGTCACAAAACCCATTTTTCTCCACTATTTTCACAGCAGCATTAGCCATGGGCTTGAAAACCTGTGAATAGCAAGAGTATAACAAAGTGGTAAGCTAGTATTAGCTTTCAAAAATGAATGGACACCAACACGAAATGCAATATATTTAGTCCTGCAAAAATTTAACATCTTCTGTATCTCTTCCTATCTTTGAAGTTCATTAACATGAAACAAGACAGCAAAGCCTCACTTCAAAATTTCATAGAGCTCCAATGTCACTGTGACAAACTGAGCTGCTACTCCAATTTAACTTTTGAAAGACAAAAATACACATTGAGAATATTTAGCATTTACATTAAACAAGCTTGTTTATTTTTAATAAAGATATACACACATCAACAGAGGCCCCAAGAGACTTAATATGTGCTCAAGACATAAAAGAAATTAATTAATTAATAAAATAACCCAAAACAACCAGCACTGAACCGAAGTATGCCAAAAATCAGCTTTTATTAACGGCATAACTGTGAAGAGAATTTTTGTTTCCTTCAGCACAAAGAGAAGACTAGAGAGAGTACACAGCTTGAAAATAACAGAACAATGAAGAATGTGTTGAAAGGCCTTAATGTCCATATCATTTTTAAACGCAAAAATTTTAAGTATTCTACTCAGCCACACAATCTGACTATTTAAGATAAGACATTTGTGGCCATTTTGGAAACCAGCATAACCCTCTCTGTTTGCTTCCTGAGTCCACAGGAAAGAAGACTGTCCCTGAAAAATGATCGTAGGATAAAATCCTAGATTGAAAAGAAACGTAGATTTTTACTTGGATAAAAATCACGCAGCACTCTTTCAACTATGACCTACAGACAAGTGAATTTTATTTCTTCAAATACGTTAAAAAAAACCAAAACTGGCCAAAATGTTCCTGTTCTTATCCTTAATACAAGTAATGGCTGCTAATGACCATCAGGATGTTTCTTAACTGCCAATAAAAAAGGAGATGTTCTATGTAATCACGAAGACATGGAAAAATCAGTTTATGAGACAGTCTCTTTATTATGATATGGTCCATGTTATGATTGGGTGGTCTGAGAAACCACCTCCAAGAGTTGAAACTTACGAAGATCAGCAATATGGCTAGAGAATACTCACATTTTTAAAAAACGTGGTTGAAGTTTTCCATATTACACTTGAGTTTTGATAAGAAGTAGAGAAGACAGAATACTGTAAAACTTGACTTAGTAATTTTAATCTGTACATTTAGAGAAACTATCCCAAAAATGAAAAATGTACTATACCACTTCAGCTGTATTCTGTGGTTTCGACACATAGAAGTATCAAGCTTGCACTTCAGAAGCCACAACACAAATAGCAAATGCATCCACTCCAGTGACCATGCAGACAGGACTGCACTGAAGCTCTAGAAAGAGGCGATGAACACACAAGCAGAAGTATGTGCAACCCCTAACAAATGCTTACCTCAATTGCATAGCAGAAATCTGCACCTGCTGAAGCTGCCATCATAGACAGGAGTCCTGTGCCAGTCCCTATGTCTAGAACGATTGCTTTCTCACCTCTTTCCTTTACCCTGCTCACTGCAGCACGAATACCTTGGTAGTATTTCACATTCTGTGGAGAAGAGAGAAAGAACAAAAAAAAAAAAAAAAATCAGCAACCTTTAATCCATTTATACTTTTAATTTTTGTGCAGAAATCTTGCATTCTCCAACTATTTGTTTGTAATTAGAAAAGGCTCTACATTCTTTATGCTGTACAGTCACACCAAAGCCATTTTTGGCAAAAGCAGGTGTTTTGGGGGACATCAGTCCGTTTAAAGTACATCAATTTTTATTGCAATATTCACATTGTCATTCATCGGTCAGCTATTTATAATGCATGCACAACTTACAAATGTAATATATTTTCTGAAGCAAATAATAATAAGATCCATGTGAGATACTACTCTTTTTCTGATTACTTTTCCCCTGGAGCACCACTCATAGCCATATAGTGCCAATGAGAGCACAAGAGCTGAAGCATCTTGGCTTTAGATTCCTCTCTACATCTACTGAAAAACATTCATAAGTGAAATACTGGCTTTGGGTTATGTGCCATTAAATGTGGCTACAAGTATACCAGCATTGACAACAGGAAAGAACCGAAATGCTGTCACCTGCCAGTGACAGTACACATATTGAAATATATGCTTATATTTACTCCATAGCAGCCTATTGTAAGACATTCCTTTCCAAATGATTTATCAAGCCTTTCCAAAGAATACACTATCTCTGGACATTATAAATTTGGAAGGTGTGCTGGATCCCTTCCCGAGCAATTCTAGTTAACACTTTTGATATATAATACTAGTAGAGTTGTTGTAATTACTTAGACACAGCTTGCTGTCTTTACATGGCTTATTAAATGCCTGATTCCACCGGCATGTTTCAATTCAATATGAATTGAAGACTCATAGTGTAGACACCATAAAAGTCTTTTATAAAGGTTATTGATGAAATGGTTGACTAAATGGCTAAAGCACAAAGAACATTTAAACCATTTACTCCAGACTTCATCATGCCTGTAGAGATGGTATCTCAATTTTCTTCTCAATCCTAAGCAGTAAATAAGAGCTAAAAATACCACAAAAGAATAAAGGTAGACTTTACTTACATTCCTATAAAAACTAAGAAACCTAGATTCTCATTTACAGGCTTTGAAATGTCATCTAATGAGCGTCCTCTGTCAAAAGCATCAAACGTAAAACAGCAAAATTAGCTACTGGATGTAAATATCACATTCTGCAGTAAAAAACAGAACACTGGAGTCAGACATAAGACAACATCTGTTGATCTAAGAGCAGGTCTGGTAACTTAAAGAGTACAAATTTGATCACGTCATCTTTCAGAGAAACCTGTATAATCATGCAGTGACAGCTATTCAAGAGAAAGGAAATAGGTATTTTCCTCACCATTCAAAAGTTTTTTTGCTTCTCTACTTACTCTGTCTTTATCGTGAAGCATATCTGCATAGCGTGACCTACAATAAAAAAAATCCAGTCAAAATACTACATACTGCAAAGCACAACAGAACTGCTAGATCTTATATAGCCTCCTTTGTTCTCTCTTACTAAAGCAACTGTTCCCCATGGCCCATACATGCACAGATAACTGACGCGCTCTTTGAGGATCTGAACTGTTTCCCAAATCCAAGGAATGTCATTTCAGTGATCTGGTCATCAGCATATAGATGAACTAATTAACTGCTGGCATATATCCCCTCTTCAGCAATGGACCCAATAGACAGACCTATGGACCTGTGAAATAACAGCTGAGACAGACGGGAAGTTCATACAGAGCAAGACACAGCAATGAAAGACAGCCTACTAATGGGCTATTGTTTGTAATCAAGATTTGCATTTTCTTCAGTTCCCATTTCTTCACAGGTCACACTAGTTAAAAATACCCCAAAATCTAACCTTCCCATCTTCTCTGGCTGCTACATTAAGCTCTCAAAAAGTTACGACAGGAACAGACGACTGGCAATTACTTGTTGCACTGGGGTTTTAAAAGAAATTTAGTCAACGTATTTTGCCACAACTCAGTCACTGTCAGCATTATGGTAAGCATCTCAAAAATGTTTAAAAAACATTTAGAAGGAAACTACTTGGAAAATACTTTACAAAATGCTACATTTACAGTTCTACCCTGTACAGCCCAGGGCACTGTAACACTAAGACTGTCCTGCAGTCTGTTCATCTTGCACCCTTGGAACTTCTACAGAGATAAACCCCAGAGTTATCATAAGAACAAGTTGGGTTCACTCTTTTTTGTGGCTTTAGTGGAACAACGCACTATTTTTTCCAACATACCTTGCGATTTCCTGATGGTAGTCATAGTTCTCATCTTCTTCTATCCACTCCATTGAACCAGTGGTTGGATTAGCTCTTCCACAGAAGGTCTTCATGATCAATCTCAATTTGCGTTATTTACGTATTATGTGCAGTTTTGCTGCTTTGGCTTTACTCAAAATACTGGCTGTGGAAAAAAAAAAAAAATCACAGAATTTCCAGTGAAAACAACAGACATCACATTAGCTCTGGATACACTCCCCTATTATCACACCTGCCTTGGCCAGGAGCACTGGTGACTGCCTTGCACTTTTCCCATACGGATGTTTTAAGCTCAGATCTGTCACCCAGCCCTGCCCGTGAAAAAAAAAATTCGCCAGTGAATTCCCAAGGAAACCCACCACCCCCCGGCGAAGCACGCCGGGCCGGGAGAGGCCGAGCACCCTCTCCGGGGGCTC